AAAAAAAAACTAGTTCCGCCACAGCCCCGTCTAAATAGTTAAATACACTACTTTTGGAAATGAATATGACTTTTTTAAAAACAAAATTCTAATAACTAGGATAATAACAATACTTTAGATCGCATGCCATGATCATAAAATGCTAATTAAGCGTCTTGATCTACTTAATAACATCATAATTTAGTTAATATATTTTCGGGTTAATACAAACTTTATTGCTTCAAGTTTACTTTCATTTTGGTTTTAATTCTTCAAAGACTTTGATCCCTCGAGTTTTTTTTTTTATTTAAAACATTGGTTGCTATAATCTAATAAAAAAATTTGGATCATTTTGCCCCTTAAGAGACCAAAACTTATATTTTGAAACTTGATGAACTAAAACCAAAATGAAGCTAAACTTAAAGAATCAAAGATTATATTAATCCTATATTTTCATATATGTTACAAATCCTAGATAGGTGCGCAAATTTTGGAACCCAAGTTAAAAGTATGAGAGTTTCAATTGGAATCATTTTCAAGTAATTTTTCTCCGTATTCATTTTTCAATTTAAGAATGTCAAACATTAAATTCAAAAAAATAGTACATATACAAATTAATTATTTGTGTAATCTTAAAACATTAATATCTACCTCTCTAATTGAAAAAATATTAATCATTAATATTATTTTTAATCTCTAAAATTTAATAATAAAAATATTATTTTAGGAGTAAAAAAATCAACGTATTAAATTGAATTCAATTTTTTAAGAAAAAATATTAAATTTTAGAATTTAAAATATTATACTAGTTATGGGTGCTCATAGAATGGGATGAGATGATTGAGATCAGAACAATCCATCCAAAACCTATCCCAATAATTGGAATAGGATGGTCTTTTTATCTCATGTCTCATCTTGTCTCGTCCTAATGTGTCACGTTCTTTCTGAACTAGACATAATTGGCACTAGGTAAGAATGAATTGTTTATTATTTTAATTTTTTAATTACAAAATCAAATGTATTTAGAGAAAAATGTACCCCATGTAGTAAAACTTATAAATTGTAAACAATATAATCATAAAAATTATAATATTATTATATTAATGATATGTAAAATAAATTTATAAAATTAAAGAAATAATATATCAACACGAAATTAGGTTGAAACACCTCGTCCAGTGTCATGTCTTATTTTGAGACATTTTTGTCCTGTCTTTTTTTTTCGTCCAGAAAACTTTTTAGGCATAGATTCCCCCCATCCCAAAATGACTAAAATCGTGACGGGATATCAAGATAGGACATAAATGAACAGCCCTAATACTAGTACTAGGTATTTTCTTCGATTCAAAATATAAGTTAAATTTTATCTATTACACTAATAAAAAAAACTAGTTAAAATCAGTTTAAAACAATAAATATGAAGATATATATATTTTTTCAAATATGCCCTTATTAATGAAGAGAATAAGTAAAAGATGCAGTAAATAAATAAAAAAAGAAAATATATGGGCATAAAATTAAAAAAAAACTCATTAAATATTTTTTAAAAAATGAATATTATTTTATATAAAAAAAAATTAAGCCCAAGAAGTATTAAACTAAATATTAACTCGTCGAACTCTCAAAGAAAATGGAGCCTCGAAATGTGAGTGTACGGAAGACGAGGTCCCACACGTCCGTTTCTTTCTAATTTGCACCATTTTATTTTGGGATCATTTCCCTCTTCTGCCCGCCTCTAACTTCTTGGTCATATTATTGGATTCAATTTTAATATTTTAGATTTAAGATTTTATGAAACCAATGAAGTAAAGGAAGGTGAATGAGACTGGCAGATTCTACAATCTTAATCCCTAAATTGTAACCCTTAGGTTCCTTGTTAAGTTGATTATTTTATATGTATATATATAATTAAGGAGCACCAATGAGACTACCTGATGTCATCCAAATTGCCCACGGCATTTCATTAAAAAAAATGAATTTTTTTTAGGTTTCTATTTATCTTTTTTTAAACAAAAAAATAGGGTTGTTTTTCCTGATTTAAAGTGATTAATCACCGATAATCTTAAAAACCTCCTTTGTACCCTTACTTTTTACAATCACAACCGGTTTACAAAGTTAATTTTTAACATTTGATTACAAAAGCAACAGGTGTAAAATGTAGGGTTATACTCCGAACCTTAATATAAGATCTAATTAGAAAGTTGGTATTAATCTTATATGTGAGATATATTTAACATGTTTATCAATTTTTTCTCAAATTAATCCTATTAATTCCCCTTAACAATAATCAAGTAGGAGAAGGAATTAAGAAATACATTTAGAGTGTTCTAGAGAAAACATATTATATTAACTAATTTAACTAACATTCTTAATCTACTTCAATTACTGAATTAAATCTTATATTAAAGACCGGAGAAGTACATTAATTATTACAACGTAGAAAGTGCTCCCTTGGTTCCAGATGCCTACTTGCAACATGTTGAAGCTGATGTCAAGATACCTTATGACAGTACTAATTGAAAGATTTAACAGTTATAATTGAAAGACACTGAACTGAAGTCAAATTATTATGTGAAAGATCCAAATAATCCGATTCACCATTTGCTATGTTGCTGAACCTTTTAAAAATCTTTTCTTGCAACATGTGATAGCTGAGATCACAAAACGAATTGTTTCCTATTGCAAGAAATCAAAGTCAAAAACTGTGAGAGAGATCCAAATGATCCAAATGGTACAAAGAATCATTTCCCACATAATAGAACCATTTGAGAACCTTCCGATGAATTTTGTTGTTGGAAAGATATAAAGACTCCAGCTTTTGAAGTTTTCCTGACAATTTGGGAAGGCTATTTGTGTTACAAGAAGACAAATTTAGGGAGACTAAAGAGGATGAGAAATTCATGAGTAAAGACAAGGAATTTGGTTGTAATAGAAGACATATTTGCATGATCAAAACCAAGTCCCTTTATCAGTCATGTTCAGAATAAGCCTCTCCCATGTGGATGATTCAAGTTTCAAAGGACTTATATTTTCAAAGTTGAAATGATAATAAAGAGAAACCAAATTAGACAATTGTGCAATTTCAATTGGCTCTATTTGTGATCACAATTGAAATCACTAATAAACATGTTTCACATAAGTTAAAACAAAACTCATTTCACATATTTATCTCGTATTCTATAAATCACTGTATTTTAAAAGCCAAACCGGATATTGAGTCAAAAAGGACAGCGGCTGACCAGTTGAACTGTTCGGTCGAACTAGTAACATAATACTAAATACAAATAATATGATATACCTATATGATTATATATATATATATATATATATATATATATGAAATCAAATACCAAATTCTTAAAAAAGTTAAGAAAAACATAAGTATCTCAATTTTACTTGACAACTCACAGAATCATTGAAATAATATACTAAATATATATAACTTTATATTAATCATTTTACATGAAAATAAAAAAATAAAATATGCAAATAAATAATACAGATAAAATGACAAATGAAAAATATAAAAAAACCTGAAACAAAAAGATGATCCTTAGGTAAATGTGATGTGGCGGTGGCTGACATTGAATGATGGTTTACTTTTACTGCACTCAAAGCAACTTTTCACTTCCACCAGTTTTACATCTTCGGCCGAACATTTTCCTTTCAGATCTCAATCCTTCACTTTCAGGTTGTCCCAGTAGCTTTCATTTTTCTTATTCATGGCCGTCGCAGCTTGCAATGTTGGTGGATTTAAGGGTTTTAAGGTTGTGTTTCTTTTCTCTCCTATGCTATCTTCTTCCATTTTCTCCTTTGATCTCCCTTTTTTTTTTTTCTTTTCTTCTTCTTCAATCTAGGGTGGTCTAAACTCTAGTTTTTTCCCCAACCATGCAACTGCGTAACAAACTCAGGCTGTCTGGTTTTTGCAAAACAATCTCGGTTCTCGGCTTAACGCCGGCTTCCAGTCCAAATACCGGCTCAAAGCGGCTGGAAACGGTTCAAGTGGCAAGGCAAGCCAACTACGTTGAACGAGCCAGAAAGTGTCCTGGTTATCGGCTGGAATGGTCCAACTATTTGGTGTTGTCCGGTTTTTTAATCATTAATAAATCACGATTGAAAAGCTACTTATAAGTTATTTTAAACAGATACAAGAAGAATCTCACCTATAAAGGAAGAGAGGCTTAAATTCATAAGTTTGAGAGTAGGATGATCACCCAAAAAAAATGTTAAGGTATTAGCCATTCTGCTCCATGCATGTCGGCCAAGACTAATGGACCAATATACTTTCAATCACAATGCTTGGCCCCAACATTTTCTCGCAACGGGTCAAACTACTCTAATTAGACCAGAGGAATATTGTCCAATTGGTTAATCTGGACCCAATTAATTAAAAAAAAAAAAGTAATCCAGAACCATGTCTTGTTGCATTTCAAAGTTGGCTTAACTGTTATTTTTATACCATAAGGCATAAGCTTTTATTTTAGGTGTCTATTTAGGTTTTTTAAAAATATGGTTTTTCTTGGTTTGAAGTGATTATTTAGGTTTCATTTTTTAAAAAAAAAAAATTATACCTACTGTGTATCCTTCAATTATTTTAACTGCAGAGGGTTTTATTAAATGTATAGTTAAGGAAAAAAAGAAGTGTTGACATAAAGCTAAACCCTTTAATTGATTTGAATGTAAATTTAACTTTTCATAATTGAATCTTTCGAATTATTTTCATATGGTTACTAATTGAAATGAAATAACCAAAACTAATTAAAACAAGTTGCTCGTATGTGCTAGCATGAGCAACAAATTTTTTTTTTTGGTCTCAAACTTGTACGTACTTCATTGACTTTCAACAAACACAAAACAAAGCAGTGATAACAAATCACTTAAAATTACATAAATAGAATGACGGGCTATTACATTTAAAACAAAAGATGATACACTCTCAACTGACATGATACAAACAAAGAAGATAAGAAAGATAAAGACCAACAGCTTGTAACTAGTAACTAATTACAAAGCCACATTCTCAGGTGATTCATTCTTCAATTTGCCCGACCTCTATTTCTCATCCTTTTGGCCTGTTTCTTGAATTGACCTCCAAAAGTCCTTACAAGCCATTGAGGTTTCCCAATTGAGAACATAACATACCCCATGAAGATTCCAAATACCATTCCACATCCATATCCCCAGGCTACTGGTTTCCAACCAAATCCAAATTTCTCATCAACATCAAAGATTGGTGTTGGTGATTCTCCTTCATCCTTATTGCAAGATTTTAACAATGGAATACCGCACAATCTTGAATTCCCCTCATATGAATCTCTTTCGAATGTATTAAATTGTTCACCTCTTGGTATCATCCCCTCAAGCTGATTTTGTGAAAGGTTCAGAATAGCAAGAAAGTTGAGATTCGTCAAAGTTTGAGGAATCTCACCCTTAAGCTTGTTGCATGATAGATCCAACCATTCTAAACTTGTCAATTTTCCAATTGATCTTGGAATAGAACTAGAGATTCTATTGTGTGAAAGATTAAGCCCTATCAGTGCATGTAGCTCTCCGATGGCTTTTGGAATCTCCCCATCAAATCTATTATTTGACAAGTCAATAGTGGTGAATATTGTCAATATCCTTTTCAACTCTATGATATAACCTTTCCATGTGATCATCACTGACTCCTTATATCTTGAATAATTTTTACTTCCCATATATTGTGAACCTCCTTCAACAAAATCTGTTTTCATCATTCCTTCAAACTGCTTGATGTATGTTGCTGGCAAAGATCCATTAAAATGGTTGTTGGAAATGTCAAAAATCCTTAACTTGGTAAATGGATGCTTGGTCTTAGAACTAGAAATGGCCCCATAAAACTTATTCTCTCTTAAAACAAGCACTTGTAACTCTGGCAAAGCATCAAGCCAAATAGGAAAGGTATCCTTGATCTCATTGTGTCCAACATCAAAAATTTCTAGTTGAGTACAATGAGCCAAAGATAGAGGCAATGATCCCTTGAACCGATTGCTATTGAAATGCAAAGTTTGCAAGACATTACTCTTGGAAAAATTGTATGGTAAAGTTCCAGAAAAACCATTCATTTGTAGGTCTAGAACTAAGAGATTGGGAAGACCAACAAGGCATTGTGGAATAGGTCCTGACAAGATATTGTGAGACAAGTTGAGTATCTCAAGTGAGCTTACATTACAAAAGAGAAAGGAGATATTCCCACTGAATTTATTATTTGAGACTGAAAAATAATTTGCCTCAAAGAATGGATTCGGGAGGCTTCCATGCAACATGTTGGAGCTAAGATCAAGAAATGTGACACTTGTATTTAAAAGGGATGAAGGGACTTGACCACTGAAATTATTATTGTTTAGTGTCAAATAATATAAGTGACTAAGGTTTCCAAATACATCCGGTATTTCACCACTAAAATTATTCATTGAAAGATCTAAGCTGTAGAGATATTCAAAGTTTGAAAGTGATAATGGGATTTGACCACTAAAACTATTATTGGAAAGAGATAAGTCAATGAGATTTACAAGTGTTGAAAGAGATGAGACCCCACCACTAAATTTGTTGGAGGAAAGGTCCAAAGATGTCAGTTGAGTGAGATTCTTGAAACTTTGAGGAATAGGCCCTTCAAATTGACAATTTATAAGATATAACATTTCAAGAGACTTCAAATGGCCTATAGAATCTGGTACTTCTCCGGAGAAAGGTATGTCATATAGAATCAACTCCACTAAAGGAGAGCTCCAGTTGAGCTTTGGAAGTTGAACCTGAATATTCCCTACCAAAGTTAGAAATTGAAGATTTTCTAAATACAAAATGGCGTCTGTTATATTACCTTGCAAAGAATTTTCAGCAAGTGAAAGAGAGATCAAAGAAGACGACAAATTCCTAAGTAAAGAAAAGGAGTTTGGGGTAACAGAGGACATGTTCACATAACCTAAACCAAGCACTCTTAAATTAGTTGCATTTAGAATCAGCTTTTCCCAAGTAGATGGTTCAAGTCTTAGTAATGAACTCCCTTTCATGTCATAATTGAAACCCAAGTTAAGTGAGACCAATTTAGACAATCTTGAGATTTTGAACTGGATTTCACCAAAAAATTTATTTCCCTCAAGGTTTAGGGATGTGAGATGTTCTAGCTTTGAAAAGAATAAGATCTCACCACTAAAATTGTTGAAAGCAAGGTTCAAATAAGTCAGCTGAGTGAGATTGCTCAAACCAAGAGGAATTCGCCCTTCAAAATGACAGAAGCGTAGATTCAAATGATTCATATTTTTCAAGTGCCCAATAGAATCAGGCAATTCTCCTGAGAAAGCTGTGTCACTGAGATCCAAAAGTGATATAGCAGAGCTCCAATTGGACTTTGGAAGTTGACTGTTGAGATTAGTGTTATGTGACAAATCTAGTTGTTGAAGGCTTTCTAAGCAGAAAATGTCACTTGTAACATTCCCCTGCAACGTAGTACGAGAAAGTCTAAGAGAGACCAATGAGGATGACAAATTCATGAGCAAAGACAGGGATCTTGGTGCAATGGAAGACATATTTACATCATCTAAAACAAGTTCTCGTAGACTAGTCATGTTTAGAATGAGCTTCTCCCAGGTGGATGGTTCTAGTCTTAAACTTGACCATTCATCTAAGAAAAATTCATTCCAAGACAAATCAAGAGAGACCAATTTAGACAATTCTGCAATTTTAGGAGGAATTTCACCCACAAAACCAGAATAGCTTAAGTTTAGATGCATGAGAGCAGAAAGATCACCAAATTGAGATGATATCAACGACCCACTAAAATCATTGTAAGCCAAGTTGAGTGTTTGGAGATGAGAAAGTTGGAAGAGGCTATTGTTAGGATGGAGTTGACCTTGGAGCCAACTACAAATAAGATCAAGGCCAATCACATGGCCTGATATGGAGTCGCATGTGATCCCATCCCACGAGCAACAATTCGAATCATTTCCCCATAAAGCTGTCTTTGGGTAAGATGAGTTCTTAATCTGAGGGGTAAAGGAGAAGTCATCATAAAATTCATCACACCTTGTTGAAGCCGAATGGTTAAGAGAGAAAGAGTTTTTGAATTCTAGAAGCATAAAGGAGTCATGAAGATTACACAATGGGGGGTTGAGAGCAGAAGAATGGAAGGGAGAAAGAAAGAAAAAGTAGAAACAGATGATGATTGGAAATGCCATAAGTGAAGTTAGAAGGCTATCAAGAAGCGAAAGATTGATATAGAGTTTAACTAAAGAGGCTATATTTATAATGGTACCTACACTACAAATGGCGTGACGCACATGCAAACTCAAGATTTTTATTACCAAAAGAACCCCAAAAACAAAAATATAAATTAGTAATTGTTCTTCAAAAAAGGAGAAGCAAAAGTTTTGGTCTACAAACCACTTTTAGTTGATGCTCGAAACAAAAAGCAAAACATGGAACTTTGCTAGTGTTTTCCACTTGGTCCATAAAAGAAAATATAATTACAGAAAAAAATATAACGAACGAAACTTGGTCGTTGTTTCTTGCTAGACTTTGCTATTGATAGTTCTACTATATGGGAAGATATTGTAAACAGATTTGAAAAGCGGGTCGTATTTCTTTTTGTGTAATTGATATCTAAGAAGACTTATCCTTATAATATGATGGGCATAAAAATATACCATAGAAATATCATCTCAGTCCATTCAAAGTAAACGTATGCAGATGGACTTATTTATTAAAACTACGACAAGATGATATATTAAAATAAAAGATTTAAATATCTCAAACAGTCAGATAATCTATATTGGCAATATTAAAAGAAAGAAAACTATTTTTAAAAATTACATCAATAGAGTAAGATGAGAAATTATAAGTAAGAGAACTTAATTCATCATTATCGTCAAAATAATTAAAAAAAGTATAATATACAATTAAAGTTTAAAATATATACATGTTAATTGTTAGTTGATGTTCATAATTTATACCGATAAGAATTAGTCAAGAATTGACAACTATAATAATAGACAAATCATAATATAATTATAAATTTGATTACGACAAACTAAACGTAATATAATAATTTTCTCCTCTAGAATTAAACAGAACCCACTGTTGCAGGAATTATCAATAAATCAAGAAGGACCGACATTATCTTTTCCCACTCCTTTCTTAATTGTTGTTGAATTTAAAATTTTGAAAAATAGTGAGACATTTTCGCAGATATTTTCTTTTCCATTTTTAGAATATATACAAGCTTTCGCTAAACCTAAAAAATTAAAATATTCTTATATATTCAAATCATGTGGATCGTCGATATATTTATTTTTCTATTACAAATATGCAATGGAAATACCCGTTGCATATGTATATATGAAGCTTATTCTACCCTGTTTATAAAATTGATTAAAGTCATCTTCAAAATATTGATTTTTACTCCTTTTATTTTGACCAAAAAAATTTTCACTCCTTTTGTTATTTTTTGTTTAATTAAAAAATCAAAAGAGACAAATTATTAAAAAAAACTTTTAAAGTTATCTTGAAGCTAACTAAGCTATCTGCGATTATTCAGTTTATTTATATTCATCACATTTAACTTGATTTCATCTCCTCAAAGTTGCTTTGAAAAAGTGATAGGAAACAGGCCAATGAATGAGAAAATACTACCATGCAACCCACACACATAATGATTAATCTGATAATTCATACAAAAATAATTAGAAAAGCAATAAAATCTATAGGAAATTAAATGTGCATAATAACATGAATTTATGTGTTTTAACTATTACTTACAGAAGATAAAAGAATGCCAACCAATAAAAATATTTAAATAACTAAAACACACACAACTGTGAATAATTGTAAAGAATACTCGTTTTTGTTTTTGTTTTTGACATAGAATTATTTAGAAGCAGTGCTTATAATTTTTTTCCCTCTATTTAATTATTATTTTTTCGTGAAAAATATTTTATTATTTTTATGAATGAAAAATCGGTAAAAGTCAGGGGACCATCTAAAGATGGAATGCCATGCCAATAGACCAATTGATCCCACAATGTTTTTTTTTTAAATATCAGTAGATCCTTAAATTTAAATATTCGGCAATTAAAAATATAATCAGAAAAAAATTCAACAATTTAAAGTTTAAAAATAAAAATTTTTATGCTATATATACAATCTAAATCTTTACCGCTATTATATACTTTCTTGCATGTCTTAGATCAGGTGCAAATTTTCCAGGTTTTTTTTGGCAGAATTCTAAACTCTCTAATATTATTTCTATGCAAATAGCAATTTGCATGACTGTTTTTTCTAGCTCTAAAAAGGGGGAAAACATCCAAAAATTTATTGCAATTATTTTTTGAAAAAATTACAAAAAAAGACATGGAAAATTAAAAAATTGCACATAGAGACTCGTTCACAAAAGTTGCTGTCATTTGCTTATCAATTGTTGTCAAACTCAATATTAATATTGTAATGGTCCCTATTTATAATTTTTCTATTTTCAAAATATTTTTTACGATTTTTTCTCATTTTTTTAAACAAAAAATGGAGTTTGTGAATGATTTATACTGATGAATTATTGGCAATATGCCATGCATAAAGGTTTGTCGAGTCACCTTATAAAGGAATTTCAAAAATGGTCCCATTTTAACAAATTATATTGACCACATGTACATTAGAGTAAGTAGGAAAAAACAATTGGATGTATTAAGAAATACCTTGGGGTGTTGGAAGCATTAGAAAAAAATATTTCAAGATATTGAATGCATGTAAGAAAAATTTTTGAGATGCTTGATCTACCTTAACCCTAACTTTATAGAAAGAAAACTTATAACCTAAATCTTAATTTTTGTTACAAACTCCTTATTATTTGATGGAAATTAATAGTAATTAGTTAGCAGGAGTTTCTTTGGTTTTAACAAAAATTAGAAAATTTCTTCTTAAAAGAATTGTTTTTCTCCATCAAAACTTGGAAATATTAGTTGTAATGTTATTTGAAAGAGAATTCTATGAATTAATAATCTAACGCAAGCAGGGTTAAGCGAGTCAAGGAGAACTTCTAAGGGCATGTTTGGATTACAGTTTGCAACTGTAGTTGTGCCTTGGAATCTGTGAAACTGAGTTGGACAAAAACTGTTGTTTGGCTGAGCTAACTTTTCCAACCAATTTCTGGCTTTCAATCTCAGTGAAAAAAAATTAGCTTTTCAAACTGCAGTTTTAAACGGTGATTATTAAAAATGAGCATCTCAGATTTACCTTCATATTTTCCCCTCTGCTTCATCTCCTTCGTTAGCATAATAAGCTTTTATTTAGACCAAATGAATTTTAATTTATATTCATGTTTGTCCATTATGTATATTTAATTAATTATCTACAATGTGTTTTCAAATTTTTCTTCATAAGAAATATTTTTATTTTATAATATCACAAATAAGCAATTTATATTTTATCATAATAATTTTACGTATTTTTTAAACTACTATCACATTAAAAACATAAAATTTCAAACACTACTATTCAATAAAATGATAAAAATCCATGCCCTTTTTAGTCATTTTACAACTAAACTAACTTTTCTATTAATTATCCAAACAACTTTCTTTCAACTGACTTTTTAAAAACACCTATCCAAACATACCCTAACTAACTCTTACTCTAATTTCAGTTACAAAAATCAGTTGAGCTAGAAGTCAGTTTTGCCCAATGCCAATCCAAACATACCCTAAAACTTAAAAAAGTTGGTTGTCATTTACTTAAATATCTCTTTATATATAGCTGTAAATCATCGTAAAGAAGACTTATTTGTCTTTACTTGACATAAAATTAATTTAGCAGCAGGCTTTATGACCAAGATCAATTCTTATAATCTTTTTTCTCTATTTTATTATTTGTATGATTCTTAAAAAATTCGTAAAATGAAGTGGAAATTTCTTCTTCTTCTTTTTTTTTCTTTGGTCATGAGTGGAAATTTCATCTAAAGATGAAATGCCGTGCAAGGGGTGCTAATAGACCAATTGACCCCCCAAATTTCCTCTTCTTTTCCTTTTCTTTTTGACCAATAGACCCCAAAATTTAAATACTTGGCAACTAATGCGGCCATTTATCATGAAAAATTCCAATAGTCTAACATTTAAAAATAAAAGAGTCTATCCTCTATATATATATATATATATATATATATATATATAGCCTGAATATCTTTATCACTTTTATGTACTTTTAATTTTTTGCATGCCTTAGATTAGGTGCAAATTATTCAGATTATTTTGGCAGAATTTCAAACTCAATAATATTCCATACAAATAGTAATTTGCATTACGGATTTCTCCGGCTCAAATAGCTGGAGTTTCTTTAGATTTAACAAAACTTAGAAGATTTGTTCTTAAATTTTTTTTCCTTTCAAAACAGAAAAATTCATTTTAACTCATTCGAAAGAAAATTCTGTGAATTAGTAAAACAATCTGCAATGCATTCATCATTTTTAACTGAATGTATATATGAAGCTTAATTTTGCTATGTTCATAAAACTGGTTAATGTCATCTTCGAAATATTGATATTATTTTCCCTCCTTTCCTTATTTTTTGTGTAGTTCAAAAATGACACAAATTATATAAAAAAATTTCAAGTTATATTGTAATTTTGATAAGCTACCTGTTTATGATTATTTAGTTAATTTATACGTATAGCATTATGTCAGTATACGCGCGCGCACTGAAAAATCAATTGGAAATGTGAATAATAACGTGGGTACCAACCAATGAAAATTTAAATAAGTCAAATATATATCTATATAACTGTAAATAATTGCATATAAACTCACTTTTCTTTATTTGACTTAGAATTACCTAGAAGCATGCTTTATGACTATAGGATCAGTTGTTAACTTGTTATGATATTCCCCCCATATGTTTTATTACTTTAATGACAAAAAATAAGTAAAAGTCAGTGGACCGTGCACGGAGAGCAGATAGACGAATTGATCCCACAAGTTTCTTTTCCCCCCTTTTTCTTGCTATCAATAGACCCGAAGTTTAAATATTCGGTAACTAAGACTATTTGTCCCCAAAAAAATTTCAACAGTTTAACATTTTAAAATAAAATTATATCCTATATATATAACATAAAATCTTTATCGCCCTCCATCATTTATTTATGACCTATGTAACTAATTTAGATAGATTAACAAAATTAAGTAAATAAATTAATTATAAAAAATATAACGTTACATCGC